GGGTTTGCCGTGGTGCCGGCGCCGTCCACTTGGGCGCGTCGCGAACCAACGGCGCGGCGACATGTTTGAACTCCGTCAGAGGCACGGCTCTGGCATGCACGCCTAATACGAACGGTGGTCGCCCTGAGTCCCGGGGACCCGCTGCTCCGGAGGTCGCGTCGGTGCTGCGCATCCCTGAACACAAAACCCTTCGAGACAGTCGGCACTGCGGCCGGCCGTCGCCGTCGCCACGGCCGTCGGTCGTCGGGCGTCCGTCGCCCGTCACCGGTCGTCGCTCGTCGGCCCGCCCGTCGCCCCGTCGGCCGACCGCCTCCCATCGCTCGCCGCCGCCGACCGCTGCCGCCTCCGCCGACCGAGCCACGCGCAGGGAGGAGGGATGGCTCCTTACGTAGGAGCTCACCACCCACCAAACCACCCCAACCCAACCCGAAGGCTCAGATTTGCCCTCCATTTCCAGTGTGGGGGGGTCGCGGAACATCGAAAAAACACGTATGGAACCCTTACCCCCCCCAACCCGAAATTCAGGCCTTCGGGTTGGGTTGGGGTGGTCTGGTAGGTAGTCAGGAGCACCCTGCCTCTTAGAAGGCGCGGGCTTTGCATCTGCAGACAAGGCCGGCGCCTTCTGAGGAGCAGTCTCCTTCCGAGAAGCTTTCCCCCCTCGCCCCTTGCCCCCTGTGCGCGCCGCCAAGTTCGTCGTCTCCTGAGATGCGTTGTCACAAGACAGTTGCAGCACCGCGAACAATCACGACCAGAGCCCTCGGCCCCATCTTTCTGCTGCATGTTTCGAGCCGGCTCGATCTGTGAGCGTCCCGGGGCCCGAAGCCGGGCGAGCAAGCCTGGTGCGAAAAAAAGGCAAGGCACAGATCTCAGGGTCGGTGGTGGTCGCCGTCGTCGTCGGTCGTCCTTCGTCCGTACTCCGTCTTTCGTCCGCCGACTGCTGTCCTCGCCCGCCGGTCGCCGTCCCCAGAAGGAGGCGGCCGGCAGCGCCGCCCCAGCGGGCCCCGGGCCGGCAGCCCGCGGCGGCGGCGCACTGTTCCTCGCCGGCGGCGGCGGCGCGGCAGCCCTGTTGGCCTTCGGGGCGAGGCCGCAAAGAGACAGACCGCCAGTCGTCGCCACCGTCGTCGCCGTCGTCGTCGGTGTCGCCGCCGTCGTCCGTCGTCGTTTGTGGTGGTCATCGTCGCCGCCGCCGCCGTCTATATCGTTGTCGGGGTTGCTGTCGTCGCCGCCGCCGCCGCCGCCGCCGCAGCCGTCGCCGTCGCCGTCGTCGTCGTCGTCGTCGTCGCCGTCGTCGTCGTCGTCGTCGTCGTCGTCGTCGTCGGTGCGTCGTGGCCTTCGGGGCGAGGCCGCAGAGAGGCAGACCACTCGGGGAGCAATTCGTGAGAGGTCAACTTCAGCATCGGCGCCGGCATCTCCGTGGTCAAAAGCAGTGCTACTCTGGCAAAGTCCCGTTGAATCTTGCCTGATTCAGCTTAATCTGGCGCAGTCAGACTAAATCTTGGATTCAATCTGGCCTGATCCAGCTCAGTGGCCCCTGAATCGAGCTAAAAAGCCCTCCGCCGAAGTCCTCCCAGGAATTAAGTCTTACGATCACCGTCATCGCCGCCGCTGTCGCCGCCGTAGCCGCCGTCGTCGCCGTCGCCGCCGCCGTTCTCGCCACCGTGGTCCTCGTCCCACGTCTGAGGAGGAGGAAAAGGAGGAGGAACTGGAGGGGGAGGAGGAGCAGGAGGATGCGGGGGAGGATGAGGAGGGGGAAGGAGGAGGAGGAGGAGGAGGAGGAGGAGGAGGAGGAGGAGGAGGAGGAGGAAGATGATCGGGGGCGCCGAAAGGAGGCGGGACTGGCCCAGAGAATCGACCCCACAGCGCCCATTCGTCACCCACCGGGGCCCGGGTACCCTCACGCCCAGGTGTGTCGCTGATGCCTGGGCCCCAGCCGCCTGGGCGCCATCTCTGCCCGTGGGCGCCCAGCCTGACGTCACCGCCGCCACCGCCACCACCGCCGCCGCCACGGCCGCCCATGTCGGCATCCTCCGCCGTCTGCGGGCTCTCCTCGGGATATCGGATAACAGTTGAGGAAGAATAACAACACCATAAACATGAATTTTTGGCTCGCTGCGCGGATTTCTTGGATCCGCGCTGGGCCCGCCCCGGCGGCGCCTCCGGCGCCGCCCCTGGCGCGCTCCGCGCGCCAGGGAGGGGGGTCCAGCGCAGATCCAAGAAATCTGCGCGGAGCGCCAAAAGCCTATGTGTATGGCGTTTCTCCTTTTGAACGCATCATTCACAAACTGGCTGCAGCCATTTGGGGCTAACAAAATACAACATTGGTTCGTTCTGCGCAGCTGGGGCTAACTCAATAAAACACTGGCTCGATCTGCGTAGCCGTAGCCGCGCGTGCCGGTGGTGAGGGGGCGGAGCAGATGTATGCAGCTAGTAAGACGGCCCGTGCTCCTCTGGCCCAGCGTGGTGCATCGCCGCGCATCCCTGCGCTGCTTCCGAGACTGGCCCGTCCGTCAGCACCAGGTCGCCCAAATCTTGGCCCTTCTGGAACCAGCCGCCCCTGGTATGGCCATGATCCACATATAAATGTGCCACAGCACGGGCGGTGGTCCCCAACGAGACCTCGGACCTCGTCGCGCGGCCGACCACGCCTTCGGATGCAACTCCTGGGAGGTCAAGTTCAGATTTTGCCCTGGTCCGAAATCCGGCTAGATCCTGCTTAATCCCGCTTATCCGGCTATATCCCGCGTAATCCGCGGCCTAATCCGGTGTAGCAGCCCGCCAATGAGGCTCCATCATGTTTTAGCCTTCCGGCGAAGACCTCCCAGCAGTTGCCTCCTGGCATGTCTGGCAGGTTCAGGGGCCCCCCCCCCTGCGGTCGAGCCGCAGGGGCGGCCCCCCCCTGCGGCTCGCTTCTGCACGGCTGGGGCCGCCGCGGCTCCGACGCGGCCCGCCCGCGCACGCTGCCGCGAGCGCGCGCCCCGCCTCGGCCCTGCGCGGGACTCCGTGGGGCCCGCGCAGCGTGCGGTGCGGGCGGGGCGAGCGGCTTTGGCGTCGGCGCTCGCCTGCAGTCGGGCACGCCCCTCTTGGGGCCCTCTTGGGGCCGTCCCGGGGGCCTCTTAATGGGCCGTTCTGGGGCCATTTCGGGGGCCTCGGAAGCCATCTCGTCTCCGCGTCGCCATCTTTTGTCGAGGACGCCTCGTGCGAAGCGCCCGTGCTGATCTTATAGGGCGTCCTGGGCCCGGAGCCTCCCGGAGCTCGCGCTGCGCTGGGGCTCTCCCCGGCGAGGCGGCAGCTTTTTTTGGAGGCGCCGGCGGCGCGGCGGGCGGGCCATGCCGGAGGGCCTGGCGCACCGGCCTGCAGGGTTTCCTCCGGGGTGCGCCCAGGCGGCCTCCCGAGGGCACCCCCTCCCTCCACGAGGCGCGGAGGGCCCCCCAGGGGGCTCCAGAGCGGAAGCGGAGAGCTGGCGGCACAGAGTGGGCCACGGGTGGGGACTTTGCGGATCCTTGTGCCAGAGGGCGGCGGCTGGGTGTAGGCCCAGCAGCAGCTCCCCTCGGAGGAGATGGCCCTCCACCAGGACCTGAGCTCGACCCACGGAGGCACGAGCCCCTCCATCGGCAGGCGCGGCCCGGGGGAGCTCTCTGTCATAAGTCGGGGGCGGAAACGAGGGGGGTGGTGACTAGCGGGGGTGGATATCATGGCGTGGGCCATGATATCTCCCCAGACCTCATGGCGCCTCCTCTTGTTTCATGACGTCCCTGGCCCCCCCGCTGGGCCGCGCACATGCCGCCGGTCATGATTTGCACCCCCCACTCTCTTGGACACCCCCATCTTAGGCCGCTCCCGAATAAGAGCCAAGCAGGATCCAGCACGCCAGGCACCCCCGTGGCAAGACCACAGGGGGGCGGCGGGCCTTCGGCCCATCCCACCACCGTGCGTGGGTTGCGGGTATGAGGCCTACTGGATGTTCGTTGGGATCTCGTGGGGGGTCCCTCGGGAGCCTTTTGGAAGCCGTTCTGAGGCCTTTTGGGGGGCAGCTTGGGAGCCTCTTTGGGCCCTTTGGGGGGCCTCTTGGAGGCCTCTTGGGGGCCTCTTGGGGGCCTGGGCCTCCTGGGCGCCTCTGAGGGCCTCCCGGGGGCCTCTCAGGGCGGAAGGCTTGGGTTTTCGGTCCGTGTTCCCTCTCGTGGGCTCCTGTTGGGGCCGTCTCGGGGCCCTCTTGGGCCGTCTTGGGCGCCGCATGGGCCCTCTTGGGCCGTTTGGGGGCCCTCTTGGAGGCCTCTTGGGGCGATCTTGGGGGCCTCTTAAGCCGTCTCGGAGCGCCGGGAAGCCGAAAAGGCGAGAAAGCCTAAACTTGGGGACAATAAATGATTTGTGCCTCGTAGGGCCCTCTTGGGAGGCCTCCTGGAGGCCTCTTGAGGCGTCTCGGAGGCTTCTTGGCCGTCTGGGGGCCATCTTGAGCGCCTTGCAGCGATCGTTCGGCCACTCGGGGCCCTCTTGCACTGTCTTCGCGGCCTCTTGGGGCCCTCTTGGCCCGTCTCGGGGCCCTCTTGGGCTCGAAGAAGTCGTGCGAGAAGCTACGGGGCCGCCAAGGGCGCAGGCGACAAGCCCCAGGAGGTTTCAGCATGTGGGGCTGGGCCCATTAGAAACTCCCCAGGACGGAAGAACTGAGGCTCCGTGGGTTAGGCAAAGGGCCTGAGGACACGCCCACTCTGTGCCCGCACAGGCGCTCCGGCTCATACCAACCCAAGTTCGAGCGACGTGAAAGGAGGAAGAGGAGGAGGAGGAGGAGGAGGAGGAGGAGGAGGAGGAGGAGGAGGAGGAGCAGGAGGAGGAGGAGCAGGAGGAGGAGGAGGGGAGGAGAGAGGAGAGAGGAGGAGGAGGAGGAGGAGGAGGAGGAGAGGAGGAGGAGGAGAAGGAGGAGAGAGGAGGAGAGGAGAGGATGAGGAGGATGAGAGGAGGAGGAGGAGGAGGGAGGAGGAACCAGGAGGGAGGAGGAGCTCCCAGAGGCGGCGTGGCCAGCGCCGCGAGCGCCCGCGCCGCCGCGGCCGGCTGCACAGGCAGGCGCTGCAGCACGAGGAGGCGGTCCCTCCTCCCTCCTCCTCCCCTTCCCTGGACTGTGCCGCTCATTAGTTGCGCGCCCCCCCGGCTGACGAGGTCGTGCACCTTGCTTCCGTGGAGAGCCGAACCCGAACCTCCCCTTCCCTGCGCCCTCCGTCTCTCCCTCCTCGCTCCTCCCTGCGGCCAGGAGCTTCTGCTCAGCGTGTCGCGCGCCGCCGGCTCTGGCCCACCGCAGTGCGGCGCGACGCGCTGGCCACGCCCCTGCCCTCAAGCGGCAGCGTCCCGAGCCTTTCCCAGCCTCCCGCCCCCGCGGAGCGGAGCGGCACGCCATCACCTTGAAGGGAATGGCGTGTCGCCAGGGCTACCGCTGCGACGCGCCAAGTGGAAGTTTCTGAACGTATCCGTCCTCTTCCCTCCTCTCCTCATTTCTCCTCGCTCCTCCTTCTGCCTCTTCATCTCTCCCATCCCTCTCCCTCCTCATCCGCCCTCCCCTCTTCCACCACCACCCCTCTCCTCCCACATGCCTCCTTCTCCTCCCTCCTCTCTCCTCTCCTCTTCTCTCCTACATCCTCTTCCTCCTCCTTCCTTCTCCTCCTGCCTCCTCCTCCCCCTCCTCCTCCTCCTCCGTCTCCTTCTCCTCCTCCGCGATCCTCGTACACCCTTGCCCTCCATTCCTATCACTCCTCCCTCCTTTAATAATTCCTCCACTCTCCTCCTGCACCCCTCTTTTCCTCCTCGCATCCTCACCCTCTTGTCATCCTTCTCCCACCACCATCCTCTTCCCCCCCCCTCCTCCCTCCTCCTCCTCCTCTTCCTCCTCCTCCTCCTCCTCAACCTCCATTCCTCCTCCTGATGCCTCCGGGAGCCCGAGTGATGTCCCAGAGACCGACCATAGGGAGGAGGGCCTTCATACCCGGGCGACGGGAGAGCATCGCAGCTAGCGTTTCTACCGCCCCGCTCTGGTGCGCCCAGCTCCTTCACAGATCGACCCGGTTTGAGTGAAAAACATATGTTTACCGCCTCTTCCTTCTCCTCCTACTCTTTCTCCTCCTCCCCCTCCTCTTAATCCTTCTCCTCCCGCCCGGAGTGGTAAACTATACATGCAACATGGGCAAGGGCAAGGGCTCTCTTATTAATTATGCGGTTGCATTCAAAACCCTGGCCCCGGTCCGCAAAGGGTACAAATCTCAAGCCTCAAGCCTGCACGTTCAAGACGCACTGTTGTTTGGAGTTGGAGACTCCGCATGCCGCCGTGCTACAGGAGATGGACACATGGGTGAAGCCTCTATCCTTCCCTATTGCAGAAGAACCAGTACTCACATGGCCGTCGTACCTACCTGCCGAGACGTGTAGATGTTACACACTACATATCCATAGGATCACAAACTTGTCCCACATGTTTGTCGGTATGTTTTGGAAGAATGTACTGCTACGGATTTGCTGTTTAGGGCTACAGACCACACATACATGCACACGATGAGGAAATGCGATCAAAGGCCACACATGTATCATGGGCGTGGTGGTTATATGAGCCCACATACTACCACGTTAACTGATAATGGTGCTAAGATTGCGTGCTTTTTAGTCTGAGCTTTCGTTCTGGTCTATGGTTCCCCAGACGTTACTTGAACTGCGAGTTGCTGCCACATCACGGATCTGGCAGCATGCAGCGTGCGTTCTCTGAACGACTTGCTGGCCTCATCCGGGGGTCCCACAGTACGCCGCACGTCGCCTAGATGATCAGTCAGCAGGTCAGTGGCAGGACCAGCTGACCATTTCAAATGCTGCTGAATTTAGTCGCTGCCAGGAGTTGATTAATCTGTGCTGAACCACCCTTTCTTGTGCGTGGCAACGCGCGAGGACTGCGTCTGTTAAGGCGGATGCAATTTATCGCTGTCGCCAATCATACTTGGCATGAGGTCCACGTTGTCGAGCTTGATATTTCTGAGACGTCGACCCTGGTCGGAAATCAGAGGCTGTTGCTAAAGATGGCGCGTCATGACCTTACGGCTGCCGAATTTAAGATCAAGGTTTCGAGTGAAGCTCGGGACTCGGACACGTCTACCACTCCTGGTAAAAAAGGAGAGCTTGGTCTATCATCCAGAAGCGACGCAAGAAAGGTGCTAATTACTAAGGCCGTAAGATGCAGCACTTGTAAGAACCTGGAGTACTTGCAGCTGGGACAAGGGGGCACAATGCAGTAGGAATGTCAGGACCTCAGGTGCAGATGAGAGCAAGCGGCAGCTTGCTCCGGACATTGGCATGCTTGAGCGGGCACTACGACTATCCTTTGAGTTGTTTGGTTCGAAATGCCTGTTCATTTGTTTCGGCTGCGGCGCGAGCAGCTGCAAGGTTTCGTTCAACTTTGGCGAATGTGAGGCGGCCAGGATACGATGAGATTCCAGAAGTTGTAGAAGCATGCGTCTTAGGAATTTACCGTTTCAGAAGTTCTAGAGGCATGAGTATTAGGAGTCCACCAGCGTTCTCAGGAGCCAAATTTGGAGACGGGCTCAAGGGCCAGTCGCCGCTACTGCGGCTGTCTTGCTAGAGCTTGGCTGGCAACCAGTATATAGCATTTGCTTGCGAGAGATGAGGACGGCATCGAACTTCGCCCGACTGGTTGAGACTTTTCTGTGCAATTTATGAGGGCCCTGAGGTGCACGTGCAACCAGATAATCTGGAATCCGGCCCAAAAGCACTACCACAGTGTGGGTGTTCAAATGGTGTCAATTACATATGTGTTCAAAAGGAGCCTTCCAGGATGGGGGAGGAGTTAGACTTCGAGGGGCAGGGGGTTCTCAGGAACCTGATGCCGTGGTTTCTGGATTGACTGGAGGCTTCATGAAGGTGGGTATAGTACCCAGGCTTCTGGTAAGTGTGACAGCTGTGGTGAGCAGTTGGAATCCCCTTTTCACCGTTTTCGGGCCTGCCCGAGAATGGCCATATGATTGGTGATCGTGTTGAGCGTGTAGCTTACCTTGCAGAGCGTGCTGCGCAAGAGGTGGGGTGTGCACCGTTATGGCGTCTCGAGATTATGCTCCTTGGTCGCTCGACTGACCACATTCCACGTGCCACTGGGACAGCCTGGTTTTGGGGATCGTTTGACGATCTGGAGGGTTATTCTGGCTTGGTGGAGCGCGCCCAGGGATGGGGCATGTGGCGTCAGACGGTGGTGGCGCTCTCTTCCCCTAGCTTCTTCCTCTCTTCCCGCATGCGGCACGCCTGCTACTCTTTCAGACCACGGTTCAGTGCATGAGTTTGCCTATCACAGGTCGGCTCGTGTGGTGCTCCTGGTTTGCCTGGCGACCTCTTGATTCGCACAGCGGTCGATGCCAAGTCAGGTGAAGCTATGTGAGCGTGCTCCCTCCTCCCCTTTCTCTTCAATAAAGCAAGAGCACCTCTCACGAGGCCCAGAGGACCCCGTATCAGAAAGACAAATATCGGGTTGGGGGGATGGGGCTGGGAGAGATGATCATATCACTCGTAGCATCGCGTAAGCCGAGCATGCTTATGACACGGTCGCGCCCCGTAGCTTCCCAGCCCGATCCTCCCAGCCCGATAGTTGTCTTCCTGGCCTCAGGCACCACAATTCAGGAGGGAAAGAAACACACAGACACAATTAATCGTCGAGTCCCAGGAGAATCTGGGAAAATATGGGCATTGGGCGGGAAGACAGAAACCCAGAAAATATGGGAAAATATGGGGAATCTGTTTATTTGTGTGTATTTATTTGTGTGTCCCAGGGCCCCTTTTAACAATGGCGCGAACAGCTGGGGGCACCCTGGGCCGGGGCCACCCCTAGCAGCACCAGACCTGCGTCCCCCTTCCCTTCCTCTCCCCCCGACAGCGCCGAGCCGCTTCGACGTGCAGACTCCGCGCGGAGCGGCAAGACACACGCACACGCACTCGCACACAAGGCACACACAGACACACACACACACGACACACACACCACACACACACACACGACACACACACACACACGCACACACAAGACACACACACGACACACACACACACACCACACACACACGACACACACACACACGCACACACACAAGACACACACAAGACACACACACAAGACACACACACAAGACACACACACACAAGACACACACAAGACACACAGACACACAACACACACACACACACACACGCGCGTCGATTCCCGCAGGGGCGACGCGCGCGCTCGGACATCTTGTGGGAGAGGTTCATCGACGGGCGTTGTCTGGCCAAGCCGCCTGGGTAGCGATACATGTTGGGCTGGCCTCCGGCCAGCGCCGCCGATCCGGGGGGGCTTTTCCAGGTTTGCGCCAGCCAGGTTTGGGCCTCGGGTCGTTTTCACTAAACCACGTTTTACTAAAGGGAGGTCTGTCCATCCCCGATGTAAAACTGTGCCTGTACGTATATACGTATAGATACAGCAGCAGATGCCTAAGACGCTTGTGCTAATGTGATCGGCTCGGGCGTGCGCCTCCTAGGGGGGGCGCCCAGTGCTGGCATGTCCGCCTGCGACCCGGGCGTGACTCGAATCCGACGCCGTGCCGATGCTTCGCGACTCCGTGCGCGTTCCGACCCCGTCCATCTTCGGGGGCGGAGAAGGGGGGGGTGATGACTAGGGGGGGGGGGGTATCATGGCGGGGGCCATGATATTTCCCCAGATTTCATGGCGCCTCTTCTTATTTCATTGCGTCCCTGGCCCCCCCGCTGGGCCGCGCACATGCCGCCGGTCATGATTTGCACCCCCCCCCCCCTCTTGGACACCCCCCTCTTGGCCGCTCCCGACATTTACGCGACTCGATGAAGGCTGCTCCTGCCGCCCCCGATCTTGTGCGGTGCGCACCAGGGGGTGGCGCGAGGGGGGTCGTCCTCGCCGTCGCCGTCCTTCTGGGAAGGCGGGGGGCCCTCGACGAAGACAGGCGGCTTCTCGGAGGCTCCTCCTTCAAGGGAGGAAGAACCACCCGGACCGGACAATTGGCGTTTACTGAGCGGCTCTGGGCGTTGACGAAACAGCCCTGCCCTGTTCGATCCCCTCCTTGTGCGCGCTTGCTGCACGACTTCGCGTGTCGGGATGGTCCTTGTGGGGGTGGATGTTTGGCTTCTGCTCCTGGCGTCCAGCACGTCTTCTTCGGAGCCTCTGGGCCTTTGTCCGAGAAGCCCCCCCCCCCGTCTCCCAGGAGGCCCTCCGCCCTCTCAGGGAGGGAGCCGCCCTCGCGCCGGCCCCTCCCTGTGCGCGCTCCGGAGATCCCCCATACAGTGGAGACCCATGCCAAGAAACACCCTGCTCGCCTCTGGAGGATACGTGTATGAACCATGACTTTTTTGTTATGCTAGCATCTTGCCTGCGTTTCCGCGGGTGTTTGAAGCAGCGGGTATGCCAAATCGCCTTGGCAGGTTCAGTGGTGCATTCTTCGAGGGCGTGTCAACGTCCGCGGCAAGAGTATTGCATCCATCGTGAGGCAAGTCAGCGCAACAAAAAAAAGAAACACCCTGCTCGCCTCCAGGGTGCCCTGGGTTTCTTGGGCTTCGATGGTCCTGCAAAAGGAGAAGTGTGACGTTCCCACACCACAAATCCATGGGCGCTCCTGGGGTCTCAGGGTCGGGTTTCCTGTGGAGGGTTTCTCGTGGACTGGCCTTGGTAGCGCCAGAGCTCTGAGGCAACGAGGCGGCACCAACAGGGCGCCAGCCGAAACCCCGATGCACCCACCCAGGTCACGGGGCGGCAAAGAGGCAGCAACGAGGGGGCACCTACCGGGTACCAGCCGAACCCCGACACACCCATCCAGAGTTCGCGTGAACTAAGCAGGAGCCCCTGTTTGGAGAACATGAATGAGCCCAGCGCGCCCCCCATACGGGGAAAGTGTTCTGATCAAGTCCATTTCTTGGATCGGCGCTGGACCCAGACCCCCTGGGTGGCCGCCTCTGGCGCCGCCCCTTGCGCGCCCCGCGCACCACGGAGGAGTCCAGCGCCGATGCAAGAGATCCAGCGCGGACCTCCGAAAGTTAATGCCTCTGCCGCTCGTTCATCTTCTTGCGAGAGAGGAAGGAGGAGCGTCGTCGTCCTCCTCCTTCTCGTCCTCGTCGTCTTTCTCCTCCTCCTCCTTCTCCTCCATTCCTTTCCCTTGTAAACAACTCCTCCGCGTCGCACCCCGAGGCCAGTTTTTAGGGCGGTCCGGGCGTTTCGCCTGAGGCTCCCTCATCATTTATGATATTGACAACAATTTCACACATCGAGGGCGGGTTGTTTCCAAAATGTGGCTCTCGCCGTAGCGCCGCGCACATTCGTTCGAAACATTTGCAAGAGCTTCAGTGATTGAGGATAACCCGATTTCAAAATGTGGCGCTCGCTTTAGCGCCGCGCACATTCGTTCGAAAAATATGCAAGGGCTTCACGGATTGAGGATAACCCGTTTTCGACATTTGGTTCTCGCCTTAGCGCTTCGCACATTCGCTTGTAACATCTGCAAGAGTTTCACGGATTGAGGGTGGTTCCTTTTCAAAATGTGGTTCCCGCTTTAGCGCGGCGCACATTCGATCTAATAATGTGCATGAGCTTCATTTCATGGATTCCCACGATCAAAGTACCAGACAATGTGTTTGGGAAGGATTCAGGTTTTGCGGGAACAATTGTTACGTTGGTTGCCAATCACAAGAATGGCGTTCTGGCACGATCCAGGACCGTTAAGACGCAACAGTCAGGTTGTTCGGTGGCGTTGGAATCCC